GCCGTGTGGCCGCGCTGCCGCCTTCCGTTTGGTGGCCAGCACAATCGATCAGAGGCAACAGCGGGGTGTGCACCAGCTCCGCAATGGGGAGCGTGTCCTGACCACGTACACCCTGGAGCAGTGGAACATGACAAGTGTTGTCATTGTGCTGTGGAGCATGCGAGGCTGGCAGCCATCACTCAGCACCACGCCGGCCAGTGCCAGCTTTGAATCAGCCGCATCAACACGCAACACCAAGCAGGTTCTTCCGTGTGACCGAGCTTCGCGGTGCCGGCTGTGTATTGTGCACTCACAAGCTTCAACAAGGCCAACACCACGGCCGTCGAGATCCGCCCTGTTGGCCATCTAGTGTGACCGCAAGGCACGATGCCTGGAGCCGTTGTCCTTGTCACCCACCACGTCGAGGCTGTGCCCTGAGCTCCCAATCGCACGTGTCCAGTTGATTGTGGCAGCGTTGCTGAGCTGCAGCGAGCCGTGCGCATGTTCCCTGCCACCGTGAGCGCCGCCGTTCAGGATGCCGAGACAGACACGCCTCTGCCTCTGTTGTCGATTGCGGCCAACAAGGCCAGCCACGTGCCCGCACTCCGTGCCAGCGTGTCCTGGCTCGACTGCCGCCATGGTGCAGTGTGTCGTGGACAAGGTGTGTGAGGCCATCAGGGCCTTCAACCTCGGAGGGCAACAAGCCCTGACAGTGAAGCCCAGGTCATTGCGCGTCGTTCCTGACGCGCACCCTCGTAGCAGACATCATCCTGCTGGTGCGCACGTTTTCAAGCGAGCTTGCGCTTGCGACCTCCACCGCCGACAAGCAGTACAACCACCAGCAGCGAGCATGATTGTCTCACTGAGCCAGACAGGCCATTCATCAGCGAGATGAGCAGCCATGCGTGTTGGCACAAGCTGCAGAAGTTGTCTGGTGAGCTAGCCAAGCTTAAGGACGCTGGGGCGCGCGTGGTGCCACTTGGCGCGTGCTGCTGGGTTTGTGAATGATGACGCTGGTGGACAAGGGCGACGCAGAGCTGTTTGGCAGCTTCATTGTTCGCGTGAGCGCCAGTTTTATGTGGGAGGCGGCGAGGTGGTACATGATCACCGTCGTCCTCATCAGTGGCAAGGACGTGGCCCAGCTGCTGCTGGGAGTTGGTGAAAACAAGTCGGTGGTGATCATGCTGATGCTGGCTGATTGTGGACATGGTGCAGGAGGTGCGGCAGTCACGGCTGCTATGAAGCGACGAATGTGGTGTTGGTGTTTGTGGTGCGTGGTACGTGCTCTTCCCACCGCGCACCCTTCCCAGCATGTACTCTTTCCCAGCACGCACACACGTTCCTTACCACTGCTGTACCATCTGCACCCGTTCCAGCCAGGGCATGATCCTGGCCCATCTGCTTCGACATGTCCTACTTCCTGATCTGTTCGTCCTCGGCATCAGCAATTTGGCTGGGTGGACGTCGTTCCGGTTGCTGCTGCTTAACGACAACACGTTGTCGGCCAACGGCCTTGCTGCTCGTGTTCAACAACATGCTGCTGCTGGCGGACGTTGACCTGTGGATACCTTTGACGGCAACTACAGTGGTGGTGCTGGCTGCTGCGCGTCCCGCTTGTCATTTCCATGGTGCTGAACCTGCTGTTTGGGCTCACGTCGGACTGCGCAGACATTGAGTTGCAGCTGCTGCGTGGCTGACGCAGCAGGAGCAGGAGGGGGATAGATGTGCGACGCTTCTTTCAAGCGGTGGTTACACGTGAAGTGGCAGGGTGTGCTGCATGCGCTGAAAAAAGGAGATGCAGCACAGCACGTGCAGAACAACGTTGCCGACCATCACAGAATGAAATGTGACATGTCTTGCAGTTGATGGGTTGTGATGGGTTGTCTTTGCGTTGGTGTTGGTTTATTGCTTGCACTTTGCGTCGTTCCAAACCCCGCAATACATGCATGCTGAAGACACGTTCACTCATACGTACACACAATGAGCAAGCAAGTGCGCATGCATACACACACACACGTGCAATCAAGCAACAAAGTGGTGGTCCATGAGTTCTCCAAACGATGGACGCTCACGCGGATTCTGCGCCATGCGGTTGTACGTCAGCGACTGGAACCACTCGGGGATGGCTAAGGAGAGAGTGGTGTGTATGTGTATGTGTGCGTTGTGAGGAAGGACGTGCAAGCAAGCAATCCAAGGACACACACATGCACACACACACATACACACACACACAACTCACCATCTTCTTCACCATCATCAAATCGCAGCCGCTTCCCATCCTTCATCAGGTTGCTGATGGTGGCGAGGATCGGTCCCCGATACCCGCTCCCCTTCTCCTGCTCAATCAAATCCGGCACACGCCGTGTCGCCATCTCCCACATCAGCACACCAAAGCTGAACACATCTGCCTCAAAGCTGTATTTGTCGCCCGCCAATGCCTCCGGCGCCATGCACAGTGGCGTGCCCACACCAGCCGTCAGCGTTATGCTCGGCATCGTCTGCAAACCAGCCTGCTGGCTGTACTGAGGGTCATCATCATGGCTGGAAGAGAGACATGTGCGCTGCTGGTGCTGGTTTCTGTCACGTGTGAAGCACTGGCGAATGGACCCAAAGTCCGTAATCTTGGCGCGAAGGGACGATGACACCAGCACGTTGCCACGCTTCAAGTCCCTGTAAAGTGGATGGTGGATGGGTGGGTGGAGATGAAGGGGTGAGCAACCTAGCAACAAACACGTGCCTACACACACACACACACACACACGGTGAGCAACCTAGCAACAAACACGTGCCTACACACACACACACACACACACACACACACACACACACACACACACACCGATGCATCTGTTTGAGGCTGTGGATAAAGGCCACGCGACTCAGGTCACTCACAACATCAGAACATCGCGCAGCAGTTGCAGCTTCAGGTCTCACACAGTCGTTGTCTCAACGCTTCTGTCGCGTCATGTGCTCACCAACGTCAATTCCTCACCCACGTGCTTCGTGGCGAGAAACCGTGAGGAACAGTACACCATTGACGTCAGCTCCAAGGCTCCAGCGCACGAGCCATCAGTGATGCTTTGCAGGGTGCACTGGCCAGCACGCTGTTCGTCGCTATCAGCGCGTCGCACGCGTGTGCATGAGGGGTGCGGTTGTGCGCTCGTGAGGACGGCAGTGCATGCCGTGTGTGGTTGAGATGGGCTGCCTTTGATGGGTGTTGATTTCTCCTATTTCTCTCTTCAACACCGTTGCTGTTGCACCCAAAGGCGTTCATCATGCGTTGGATCGATGGCAGATCAATCATGGTGGAAGAAGTGCTTCGTGGACGCAACTGTCCAGTGGTAAACAGCACGCGATGCTCCTTGAGCGTTGTTTCCAGGTGCTTCAATGTTGTGTCCACGGAGGGGGACAGCGTGCGGTCCTTGGTGTTGTGAAACGGACGTGGAGAGGTGGAGATGTGGTGGTGTGGAGGTGTGAGTCAGTGGCAGCTGCAGTGCGACCGTGAACAGAGCAGAGGGCACGTTGTGACAAAGAAGCAAAACGAACGATACAGTCGAGACGGCCTGTGTCGCCACCTCCCACATCAGTACGCCAAAGCTGAACGCATCAGCTTCGAAGCTGTACTTGTAGCCCGTCAGTGCCTCTGGCGCCATGTACTGCGG